CTAACAAATCTTCAGAAGAATGGCATGGTTTTCAGGGATGTGTCTGTATACTAGGAGAACGGTGTTCCATAGCTGGAGGGACCATATCTTCCCTAGAGTTGGGAATTATGTTCATTACCTGTACATTTCCCTGAAATCTTTCCTATTGTCCATCCACACAACAGTATTATTTTACCAATTTATTTCCCTGATGCTTCCTTCGATCTGTCCAGATGCCCAAATCAATTTTCTGGCATCCTTTCATCTCCTGAATTTATCAGTTCCATGAAACCCCATTCAAAAATGAAATAGCTTTATTTTGGGCTTATATAATCTTATTGATTCCTTTTATATAAGCATTTATATGTTATGCAATCTTGATATTACCTAATATGGTAGGATATCAATTCCTGCCCTTACTAATTGAATGAGATAATTCATGCAAAATGCTAAGCCATACTAAGTACATGGTAACAAACCCCAATAAACAGCATCTATTATCTGTAAACATATTCAAATACATTGGAAGGAAGTTGGATAAACCCATTTTGTTTGAGACCTTTTGGATGCGTCCATGATTTTTCCCATTCAGGATCAGATAAATAAAATCATATGTTTATATTAAATTACACTCTTGGACTTTATCATTATATTCTGTCTAGTCCACTTCCTCATACCTTCCCTTTCACATATAATGAAATCAACTAGTTCTTATCTAATCATCATCATCATGATCATCGCTACAACTGTATCTCCAGAAAACAATAACAATATTTACAGAGTACTTTACATTTATAAGGCACTTCCCCATATGTTTTCTTCTTTCTGCAACCCTACATAGTTGACATTATCCATATAGAGGACACAAGTCATGCTAGTAGTATGGGACAGATCTAAGATTCAGAGTCAGATCCTCAGATTTATCATCACAATGATAAATGAGAGATTTGTGCAATTATTAGTACTGCATGGAATTTTTAATAACACTCGCAGATATGTCCCACCTTCAGAGAACAAATTTTGGAAGACTTTTCTTGAACTAATCACTTATTGAATCTGACCTTAAGGAGTGTAGACATTCTCCCCTGTATCTCTTCCCCTACTACTTCCAGTTGGTGATTTTGGAAAGATTCTCAGAGATTGCCTTCCAGATGTCCCCAAGCTCTTCTAGCAGGCAGAAAGGCAGGCAAGTAATCAGGGTATAGAGCTAGGAATAGTTGATTTTTCATTATAATATGGCAAAACCGTGGAATTTTTTTTTTAAGAGTAATTTTAGGTTTACAACAAAATTGAGAGGAAGGTACAGAGATTTCCCATATACCCTTGCCCTCACATGTGCATAGCCTTTCTCATTATCAACATCACTCACCAGAATGATACATTTTTTTACTAAGGATGAACCTGCATTGACACATCATAGTCACCCAGAGTCCATAGTTTATCTTAGGGTTCACTCTTGGTGTTGTACATTCTATGGGTTTGGTCAAATGTATAATGACATACATCTGTCATTATAATATCATACAGAATATTTTTACTATCCTAAAATACCTCTGTGCTCTGCCTATTCATCTCTCCCTTGCACCTCACCCCTGACAACCACTGATCTTTTTTCTGTGTCCATAGTTTTCCCTTTTCCAGGATGTCATATAGTTGGAATCAAACTGTGTGTAACTTTTTCAGATTGGCTTTTTTCACTTAGTCACATGCATTTGAGGTTCCTCCATGACTTTTCATGGCTTTATAGCTCATTTCTTTTTGGCACTGAACAATATCCCATTGTCTGGATGTACCACAGTTTATTTATTCATTTACCTACTGAAGGACACCTTGGTTGCTCAGGTCATGGAATTTGATGAGGAAAATAATCCTAGAGATGAACAAATTCTACTCATTAATGTTTCTAATGCTGCAACGTTACTATGACTCCACATAAATACGTGTAACAGCTTGAGAACTGAAGAAGAGATGGATAAGGCATGGTTTTTACAAACTGCTTGTGTCACTGGGTGGGATAAGAAATGAGAATACACCAGTTTCCTGTTTAGATGAGAGTTTACCAGGTGACAAAACATTCCAGATAGCAGGAAGGACTTATCTGTGGGTGAAATACTGAGTGCTTAGTCATTGCAGGCATGTAGGGAAATGAAAAAGGATAATTTAAGTAGAACTGAAAGAGATGTGCCTCAATCGTTATTATCATCAACTAACCATTGTTAATTTTCCATCTTATATCTCAAATTAGGATGTCATTTTTATCCTTGCAGGGCTTATAATTGAGGTATATGACATTGCTATATTTGTTGACTTGTTCTCCGGATCATTGAGAATATTTGAAAAACATAAATTTTTTTTTGAGGGGGAGAATTAATCTTTCACATCTATGTTTTTAATCAAAGTAATGTTAGTATCAAAGCAAATTCTTGTGACTTTGTTTCATGGTGGTGGGAATAAAAAAAATATTTTGACCATATATAAAACAAATGAAGAAAAGTCTACCAGCTGAATTTAAAAAATAACCAATGAAAGTTGACTTGAAAGGTTTATTTTCATTTTGCCAAGCTGTAATAACAGAGTCTAAGTTCTGAGAGTAGAAACTTTGGGAAGAATGATTTGGGAGCATCAAGAAAACAGAAAAGAGATTTGAGAATTTGCAGGCAGACACACCTGCCGGTTCCCAGCAACTCACCTCGAATGGTTTTAAAACTCTGAAGACAATGATAGAACAACCACATCTTCACATCGTTAGCATTAAAACGAGGCCCTGTGAGAAGTCGATATACCCTTATGGGAACAAATTGGTAGAGCCTCAAATCCTTTCTGGATTGCAGAGAGAACATGTTTTACCTTACTGTATGACTGGTAGAGTGTTGAGACTGCCTCTTGTACACATATGTATTTATTTGATTTGTGAAACAGGTCCTTTCCCTCCAGAGCCAGAGGAGCCGTTCTCAGAAGGTATGCAGGCAATCAACCTATTTTCAAATCCCAAAAGCCCAAGAAATACTAGCTTTTGGTTTATTTACTGGGGTGTGTCTTTCTAAACATTTTCTTTTTTAAACTGACCCTAAAGGACAATAAAGTAGGCCTCTATTAGGTCTGAGTGGATTAAAAAAATGAAGATTAAAGGGCATTCAGCAGGAATGTCCTGCAAATGATGTCTGTTTCAAGATGTATGGTCAATGAGGTAAGTTTAAACAGGAAAAGGAAACAGAGGACATCCATGTTCATGCAAAGCAGCCAGAACTTTCTCAGCAATGTGCTTATCACAAACTCAACTATTTGTCAAGAAAGCGTACATATGAGGGGTTTTTTTTCCTTAGTTTTTCCACCTGTCCCAGTCTTGTTACCATGTGTCAGCAGTGTGCTATGTATTGGTGAGGCAATATAAGCATTCAAGAAATTGTTGGGTATTTTTTGCTGGAAATGTAACTGTTGACATATAAGTAGGTATTTGACAATAATGAATACAGTTAAGCTCCACAGAAAGAGAATGAAGTGACATCAACCAAGTTGGAGTTTCAAATCTCTACAGAATTCAGTATTTTATAATGAATGTTTCCTTTCCCATTTTATGTGCCAAGAGACCAAGATACACAATGTTTATTAAGTAATTAGCATCAATCAAAAGTTCGAAGTTGAAAACAAATTGAGAAAATCAAATGCTATTATTGGCAAAAGACCCTTTCTTAGTGTTCTAAATGGTGTATTGATAGCCATTAAAAATAATGAAATATTAAAAGGACTGAACTAATGTACATGGTGTCCAGATAGGGGGACATTGACTGTGTTTTGACAGTCCAACATGGGACTTGTTCAGGGAATTCACTCTTATCAGATAATTTAAGGTGTGGCTGGCAAATCCTAACTTCCTTTGAATGACATCAAATATTCGTGAGTTTCTGTCAGTTGCAGCCAAGTTAAATTGAAGACCTTGCTCTTGGTTTCATGAAATGAAATATTTCTGTAAGATCTTTATTCTCAATTTTATTATTTCGAGTGCAATTTTTACTACCACCTTCGTAATCCCATGCCACCATAAATCCAGAACAGAACATCATATTTTGTGGCATCTCTTCTTAACAAATGTCTTTGGGCCATACATTCATCCACATACATGGAAAGTGGGGATGGGAAAGTGGGTTTACCAACTCCCAGAATCCAAACATTATGGAGTTTTCACTAAAGGCATTGAGCAAGGTGAATTGGGTTACCTTTATTGAGACCTACCATATTTCACGTAGTTTAGATATATAACCTCTAATTGTCACAACAACCCAGCAAAGTAGACAACACTGTCACTATTTTGTAGAAGGGAAAACTGAAACTAATTATGTTTAGTGAACTTTTCCAAGGTTACCCACATCAGATTTTGAAATGAGACTTGGCTCTTAAGACCATACTCTTCCTATCACAACACAATGTGCTGTCTTCCTACCTTGAGAGGCTGTACCAATTTAAAAAATAGAAAGAATCAATGATGTTCATGGCCCATTGTTAACAAACACTAAGCCATGTCCCACTTTTCAACTGAGGCTCCTTGGTCCTCTTGACTGGCATTTCTTATGCCTTCTAAGGAAAGATAGAAAGGTAGCTAAGATCAGAAAAAAAATTAAGAAAAAGAGAATATTAGATCTGTCTACTTGTTGGTGGCTCTTAGAGGAAGCAAAAGGAAGATACTAATTTTCCTGCTAATTTTTTTCTGTTTAGAAGAGAACAGGGGTCACATGGGGAAAAGGGTAAGTAGAGAATATTGATGTAGTGATAATGAGCAAAACAGAGCAAAGAGAGTTGGTTTGGGTTTTTTTCGCCATCTCCCTGGTCATAACACCCTTCACCAAGTGAGAATATTCTGTTTGGCTTTCAGGCTGGGGTTGTCATGCGAGAAGTCTACGTTAATTTCATATTTTCTCCTAACTTTCTTTTGGGGATAAGCATTTTGGGTTTCCGCTGTTTATTATTTCAAAGGCATCTATATGCTAATATGTTTTATGCTAATTATTTTCATGTTTTCCCCCTAGGTCATGCTTCATATCACCCACCAGGGAGGATCATGTCTCATGAAAACTTTCAAATTTGATTTTGAAAATTATTCAGAAAAATTTAAGCCATGCTATCTCCCAGTGTAGGAAAGAGTATGCTCTGGAGAGTCCTATAATTCAAAGAAAATGGTCTGGGATAACATTTGAGTCCTCATGCTACCAAAATCCTCTTGGCCAGGTATACAAAGCATTTAACATTGTGACATTAAAATGTTGGAAGAATAATTAAAATAAAAATCTAATAATAGGTTTTTAGAAATCACTAAATTACTATGTTTGATCCAGAGAGGAGAAAGAAAAGGCTGTTTTCATTCTCCACAGCATCTGAGGTGTGTTAACTGCTTCTGTTGCTATAAATACCATTTTAATTGTATGTCATTGTTCCTTAGAGTCATTTCTAGAAAGTTAATTCAGATGATGTTAATGCCTAACTCTGAGTTTCTGCTTACAGAAGGACCAGGTAAAAGAGGAATTTCATATAATAAGCTAGCTTCATTTCTTCCAGCTTCTTTATTATAGAGATTTTTTTTAATGAAATTTGTTTTGAGTGTAGGTTGCAATTTTTTTAAGAACATAGAAGTTAGCCAATTACCCTGTCTTAAAAATATTTTTTCAGGCACCTTCTTTTGAAGATAAGCAAGGCTTAAAAACTGATTCCTCCACATGAGATATTCAAACCGAGGTCATTTTGGAGGGTATTTTATGTCTCTCCTTTGGTTAGGAATTGAACTCCTTTTGTTCCCAAACACTTTAGAGGGGCAGAGAAAGGGCCCCCCTTTCACACCCCTTTGTATTGTTCTCCGCCTTGCTCTGTGCTTAAGAAAATCATGGACTCAGAGCACCGAGGATTCACACACCAGACTTAAATTCTTTTTGTGTACAGGCCTCATCTTTACGTGTTCCTCCTCTCTCCACTTTTGAATAGCTGCACCTAACTCCATCTCAGTTTTTTAAATGCTTTCCTTTTAGACCTCAACAGTGACCTCATTCTGCAAGAAGTGCAGCCCAGACTCTGCTGTTTCTCCTTTGGGCTCATTTTAATGTCTCTTGAGCTCTAAGATACCTTTGTTAGTAAGAGAGTTCTCGTTCAGGGTTGGAAGAAAGGTCTCCTCTGAAAGGGGCCTAATGAGTAAAGCAGGCTCTCCTGCAGACAGAAGGGGCTCAGAGTGCGTCTACAAAAGACGGGTGAAGACAGATACCTGGACCACGTGTGCTGGGACTGCCAACCAGCATTTCCATACTTACAGTCACCCCCTCCTGACAGATGGGAAGGATCATTGCTGGGGATACAGTTGGTAAACTGGCTAGAACAAATGATAGTCAATTAAAGGTAAAATAACATTTTGTTGAAACCTGGCCATATTTGGTATATTCAGTTGAAATAAACGACCTGCAGTAGTTTATGTGCTGAACCTTTGTGGCCCATCACTGATTTCTTTTCATTCTACGAATTTGCCTCTGACAATAATAAAATAGCTACACATTTTCTCTTTTAAAGTTGGGTTTGAAGAAGGATTCACTGAACTAACACATTTGACCCTAATGCAGCCCCACTTCAGAAGAAAGTTTCTCCTCTTGCTCTTCTGTGAACATAATTCAAAGATAATCCCAATAGAAAAGCAATTTGCGTCCATTTAGGCTTCAAAATGCATGAGGCGGAGGTGAACCGTACAATCCAATGAAGGAGGCTGCTGTGAGTGTCTTCCTTCCTGAACTTCTTTCCTGACAGGAAAGATATCTGTCAACAACTCGTAGTCTGTAGATCTAGAAGGTGGCTGCCGTGTATGGATTTTCAGCAAATTTTTGGTGGTGTGACTTGATCTATGTGAGCAGTGAAATTTGGTTCACTCACACGAGTCCAGAAATGCTGTGTGATTTGAGAACGACAGCGCTCCTGGGTCCTGTAACGCTCATGGAGTGAGGTTCAGAGCACATGGCTCTGAAACAATAGGGACTAGGATCAGCTAAGCCTAGATTTGAGTCCCACACCAATACCTCCTTGTTTTCCAATGTAGGCAAGTTTTTTGGCTTCCCTGAGCCTCATTCTCCTTGTGAGTAATAAAGGAGGGAGAGAATACCACATTTACTTTATTTAAGTTGGCTTGTGAAGATTAAATCAGATAATATATTTTCATGGTACCAAAACATAGTAAATGGTCAACTAATGGTCACTACTTCTGTTATCATTATTATTTTTACCAGTAATAATACTTTTAAGATTATTATCATCATCATTATTAATGCTATTAACGATTATGTGAAAGGTTCAAAATTTTTCCTTCTGAAGAACTTAGGTGGTGGAAAACTAAAAGATGCACACGTTAGATGCTTTTCTCTGCTAGTGCCACAGGTCCCGTCACATGAAGATGTGGAAAAGCTTAAGTTTTAAATGGGATCCCCTGGAGGCCTCTGTACTATCACAAAGTTTCAGTAAATACTTATTTTCTGTGAAATCTAAGATGCTGCACAAGGTGAAAATTTTTTAAAATCCACCAAATTTCTTTGCTTGTATCTAATTAATGCCAAATATTTAGAGAAGATAGAAAAAGTGTCACTTACAAGCTAGATATTTTTACCCTCACTGCCAAGAACTGAGATGTCTAGTTAATGAGCTGGCTTTTTCATTTGACTTTTGGATATGTGATATTATGAAAAACCATTTTGGGATCGGCTTCTTGTGTTACCAGTAGTGGTGGCCTTGTTGATTACAGGGTGCAATGTGAAAATCCTGAATCTCACGATGTGTGGAATTGATCAGAATGAAGGCTTTCTATAGGAAAAGCCGTCTTGCTGGCTGAAAAGCCCTAGTGAGCTGCCAGCCATCTTCCTGGACCCAGAACATCACAGGAAAGCATACTATCAGGTCTCCAGGCCATTAAAAAGTTTCATTCTTGCTGCTAAACAAGAGAAGAGTAAATAGGCTTGTTTTTGCCTCCAAAACACATGGCTCCTCACAGACAGAAAAGTCAGATGTTAATTAAACCTTTGTGGGGTTAGAAAGGATCATGCCATCCGGTATTAAAAAGTCAGCTTTGACTTCTAATTGCATGCCAAAAAGAAGAGCTGCAAATGTATTTGCTAACAAAGGTTCTTATTGCATACAAGTCTTGTTTAAAGTAAAAAGAGAAATCTTTTTTCTTCATATTTGGAATCGCTCTAATCACAATGGAGCCTTCATTAAAATAATATCTTGAGTATATATTTTTATATTTTATTTAATTTTCACCTATTTTGTGGATTTCCCTCTTTCATGAAGCCATCCCTCAAAGGAAATGCTGACAATTAACATCCATGCCCTGGTGTGTTTTCTGATGTTTCATTTTAAATATTCACACATGGATTAAGTGCAGCATTGTTTACCTTTCACAATGCTTGGCATACAGTAGAGGCTAAATAAAGTACAATTAAAAGAAAATAGCCTTCCTAGAATTATAGCGATGTTTTCCTCATTTTCATTTCCATTTTGTCATTTTGCAGTGAAGCTGGTGCAATTTCTCCTCAAGTGGGCGAGGTTTAGGATTGTTCACAGTCGCAAGTGAGAGGACAAAATAAGAGAGATTTTCATTTATAAGACTGCCTTTCTCTTATCTATTGGTCTTGCCTCCCAGACTGTCTGTCTGTCTCTGGAAAGCAAAGTCAATAAAAATGATTAGAGCTGGCATCTCACAAATGTACACCCTTAAACCATGAAGCAGTAATGCTGTGCAGGAAATATTTTTCTGACCTTTTCAAATTGCATCCAACTGTCTCGGGAATTTCTCAGTGACTAGAGGTAATAAGGTTCAATCCGTTTTACTGGCTGGCTTCAAATTTAGTTCCTCCGAATCTCTTACTTATCTATTCTTTGCATCTTGGTTCTGGCATCCATTCAGCACAGAAATCCATGCATCTAATCTTTTTTCCCCTTCTTAGGTTTTGCTAAAGGATCACACTGTGGAATCTATGACCATGACAACTCTGCTCTATTGCCCCTTCAAAAACAAAATACTAGCATGGGAAGGTTAGTGGGCCTGTTGTCTTTTGAGAAGCCCTTGTTGAATTTAATTAGCTTGTAGATTTCATTTCCGTCTTACATCTCAGTTTTTACTTATGTGATTTATGCCTCAGTAATCTTCATTATATAAAACTTTTTCAAATTAACTATACCATGAGCGGTCTCTGGAATATTAAAGAGGCAAAAATATGTGAATTTCTTTTGTGTTAAATTGATTTTGGTTTTTTTTTCCGTGAGTCCAAGTGCAATGGACACACTCTCTGGGTAAAGACGGGAGTCAACCAAGTGTGACGAGCTAAAAGGCAGCTGGGCGACCCCATTCGGCACCATGTTCCCTGAAGGAGAACAGAAAACAGAAGCTGGGGATACAATTCTTGACCTCACAAAAGTGTTGCATGTCAGGAAGCCTTGACAAGGAGTTAAAAGCTTGTCTTACTTTTCAAATTTAGAGCATCTCCATGCTGAATGTGATTCAGGGGGAGATATCAATGTTTTCTCATTTGTAGGACACACCAAATTCAACACAGACTCTGTTTTGTTGCTCCCATCCATCGCCTTTGTACTGCCTTCTGCAGCGGTGATTAGAATCTTGGCTGGAAGTTCCTGTGGTCAGTGAAGCTTGGAGGCTCTTTCTGGAACCTCTCTGTTCATGGGCAAACAGCCACCAGGAGGAGGAAATCTTTTTGAAGTTGTCCTTCTAAGAGTCTGTGTTTGCTGGTAAAATAATTGTCAAGTTTGATCATCATAAGATACTTGGCTTTATAAAAATGAGATCAGTTCAAACAACCCTATTCAAAAAATAGATTTAGAGGGAAGAGGATGAAGAGTAGACATTTTTTTATTCACAGCAATGGATTTTTTTCCTTAAAAGAAACTGAGTATACTTATGCCAAAGTTCATCTTCATAGTATAGCTTATCGTTCCCATTTTAAAAAACAAAAATAATGGTGTTGATGAATGTTAAAAGGAAACGTACGAAGTATGTGCAAGAATATGAATTTTTTGAAGTTGTTATTTTGTCATTTGAAATTTAGTTCATCTTGACGGTAGAGTCACAGTCCTGATGTTGTCCCTTACAACCTGGGTATAATTAGCTGGTATTTCTTTTTAGTAGAGAAGAGGCATTTTGGCAGTTTTGCACAATCAAATTTACTCAATATTTGCAATGCAGCACAGTGTCTTTATCACTAGCTGGGGAAGAGTGAAAACTTTCCTGGAATATTCCTTGAACACAGCTGCGGTTCACCAGACAGGCTGTTAAGGCAAATTGGTGTATGTCTGCGTACACGTGTGCAACCATGTGTGAGGTGTACACGCTAACTTGAGTTGGGATTGGAAGGCAACAACTCCAAAACCAAATGGATTGTAGTTTCTCCTTGGGGATGTCATCTCTCAGTAAATTGGAAACTTGACTACACCTGTGCACCCTTTCAGACCAGGGAGTGGCTTAGCCAGCTGGCTCTGCTTATTACACACTTAGTGCCTCCTCTTTCCCATTTCTAAGATACGGCATCTTTTCTACCCTTCGAGACCTAGAGATAAAACAAAATCAATGTTCAGCCCTTCCATTGCAAGTATAAAGTGATTTGAATCTGGTGGAAGAAAGGAATGAGGCAGTGCGTTTGCAATGGTTTATTTTGTCTTGCTGGATGTTCTTAGAGATTGAGGGATGGTTGGGGAACTAATCAGGACCTTCCAGGTAGAGAGGCACAAGAGGAATGAGAAGGCCAATTAGCCATGCTACCAATACTAACAGTTGCTCCTTCTTGGATAACTAGTATTTACCAGGGGTATCATAGATAACTCATGCAACCTGACAATCTTCTTAGGCACTTGATAAGACAAGTACAAATCCCACTGTCTTCTTCAACAGGACAGGCAATCTTCTCTCCATCATCAGAGAGCTGCTTTCCCTAGAGCCACTTATTTAATTATTTTGAAAGTTTAATAAGGGCCAAGAGTTCTGGCTAGTGGCTTATATTATCATCACAGAAGGTAATTTTTATTACCTTCAAATAATAATACAGGCAGCCAAGGGTGGTGATTATACGCCGTCCTCAGAACTCCCAGTCACACCTGTCCAGTTTGTCTCTGTTAATGGGTTCCAGGGTGAAAGAATGGATTGAGGATGGCAGATGTCAAAGGTATTTTTGTGGGTAACCCAGTAAAACCTATTTCTATAAATATAATGTTTCTAAATCAGGATAGCTAGGAAATTAAATTCCTTCAAATAGATAACTAAGATCTTTTTTCTCCTTCTATTTGCCTCACATGGCAATGTTACAAAAATAAACATTCTCGATTGCCAAAGCAGGCTTGTTATTGTGGCCTTGGCTCAATGGAGATATCGATGCATAAAGATTCAATTTCTCTCTGGTGGTGATGCTTAATATACTTCAATTTGTTTCTCGGTGAAGGGGCTTGGTTATTTATTCTGGGTAAACTGGCCTTCTTGTGTTGCCACAGTGTCCCTTAGTCTCTGATGTCAAGGCCAGCAAGTTGGCGGGGCCTCATTTGTTCCCAGGCAAATCAGAAGACAGAAAATTGATTCAGATCTAAGCAGAGTGGTAGCATCTCAAAAGCTCTGTCACCAGCGTTCACCGCAAATATATCTCTTCCTAGAGTGGGTGTTCTGAAACTTTGGTCTGCATCTCACTTGTAATAAATATCCTCCTTTTAAAAATTTCAAACAGAACTACCCAGGAAAAGTAGCATGACTTTAGATAGAAATATGATTTCAAGGTCCCTCTGTCTCTCTGAGATCTCTTGAATATGCATGTGATCCCAGAACAGAGTTCTTCCACAAAAGCCTTTATGTTTTTACACAAAGCTCCTTCGATTCCCACTATCACCTTTATTGGAAATAAACTCAAAATAGTATAAATGAGAATAAATTGTTTGAAACTCTCTGTGCCACACAGTTCATCTCCAGCACTTTGCTTTCCCTTACTGCTGAAGGAAAGGAAGTGACAGCATCAGCTTTAAATCTGTAGATTGAGTGGTGGGCACCTGCCTGTGCTTCTGTGATCTACTGGCAATCTCCACTTATTGTCAGGTTGCAGCAGTATTTATTTTCCCTTAATTGGAAGCCCACTGATACCCTGTGGAATTTCCTCCCCTTGGCAGGGCAGTATATCCATGTCGACAGAGAGCATAGCCACCATGGTCTATTGTAATATTATAGTTGGAAATATCAACCCTGGGATCAAAATTAAACCAACACCTAGGCTAATGGAGTTTCTAGACTGTCTTTTGATATTATTAGGAACTCACCATTTTTCTCAGTGTTTATCTTTGGAGTTACAGCAATGTCAGCAGAAATTCAAATTGAATACGCTTTATCAGAGCGTTTCCCCTACTGTTTCAATTCTTCACTGCTTTGCTTTGAGAAGTGAGGGGTGACTGATAAAGTTACTGACTATTACACATAATGAACACAAGAGATTGGGCACTCTGTATAGAAAGGTTACTGTTTTATTATATCTTTTTCCTTTTTAGGTAAATAAATATAATAAGATCAACTGTGTGAACACGCCTGGAAAGACAATTTTATTAGAATTCAGTTAATTAAAATGAAATTAACAAGTAAATCCCCTTTCTCTTAACTTTCAGTGTCAAAACAGGATTCGTTACTTTGGACATCAGAGGGCCTCTTCATGGTCTTTATTTATGGCTACAGCATTTGCATGTGCTTCTCCTTTGTGCTATTTTTATTTTTGTCATTGGAGTTCATGAAGATTTAATCATCAGCCTTCTAATTTTCCAGAAAAAAAAATGTTGATTTATTGAACTGGCTGCAGAAGAAGAAGCAGCAGAGGAAGAAGAGTAAGAAGAAGATGATCAATCTGACGTTGTAGGTTAAGAGTAGCGAACAAAACACATTCATAATTAGAAGAGAAAAGGACTTTCCTTGTTCATTCCAGTTTATAATAAAAAGCCCCTCGCCAAAGTGTCTTAGAAAATAATGCATTCAGACTGAGTCGAATTACCGCCTAGCAGATTCTATTTATCTGTAGCTTAAAAAGCAGCTGCGTTTTTGTAAAAAGCAATGAATGTGGCAGTCCTACTTAAAGGTAGAAGAAAAAGAACACCCCTTGTTTTGTAATAAGGGGATTTTCAATTTAAAAGAGAGAGCGAGCCTGTTGTGTGAAGTGCGGTTATTACATTCACTGTATTCTATCTCACCCACCAGGAGGCTAATAATGAAGGGGCCGGGGAAGGAGGCCAGTGCGACGAGGGTTATCTCAGAGCCTCAGATGCTGGATAAGTCGAAGGAGGCAGACTCGCTTTTGGAGGACATTCAGAAAGGCCAGAGTGATTATTTGGAAGAGAAAAGCCTGCCTATTCTTTTCCAAGGTAAACAGTTCATTTCATCTGTCACCTGCATGCTTCAGCATAAAAATATGTTTATATAAAGATATCTATAAAGTTTGCCTTTTAAAAATCCATTTTAGGTGCGTGAATATTCCCCTGGCCTGCCCGTCCACTGATGAATTATTAGCGACCTGCCTTAGACAAAGGATGCACTGGGAGCCCCACCACACCTCAAGCCATGCTTTGAAGGATCTGCCAAGCTCACTTTTAATCATGAGAAAGAAATTACCCACATGGAGTCAGCAGAAAATGAGAAAGTAGAGCTCACGCTGCGAATAATTCCAGCAAGTGCCAAGGGGCTAGTTGAGGAATGGCTTCATGAGGTGAATATCTTTAGCTTGTACTTAGGGTTCGGTTAGCGTATAATCATTTTCTCTTTTAGGAGCGATGACTGTCATAAGTGTCTTTCCTAACTGAAGAATGCTCAGGGCATTTGTCAGGATGTTGACAGATTTAATATCAGTGTCATCCTTGTTGTTATTTACTATGACTAATTTTACATTTGCAAATATGCAAAAATCAATTTAGGCGGAAAAGCTCTCTGAGCCAATGCCTGCTGTTAACGGCTGTATGTATTTGTGTGTATCGATGTGAGTGCATGTCCGGTAATTTCTGTCTCTGTGTACGTACGTACCCTTGTTCTCGTCTTCTTTCTGTTGTGCACGTAGGTCGGGAGGATTGGCCAGCCAATGGGTTCTCAGATGTGGTTTGAGGCTTTCATTTGATTTTTGGACCAGGAAAAAAAGAATGTGTCACATCATGATTAATGGTCAATCTGAATTTTCAATTCGTATGAAAGGAGAAGGGGGAGGAGGATATGAGCTCAGTGATGAGACTAACCTTTTCCCTTTGGGAAGAGCATGATTCAAATTAAACATCACTTTCAGTGTGAAATTAGTTTGAAGGCCTCTTTTTCCCCCCCTCTGGTGCCTGGTTTAACTCCTTGCTGGCCGCTCTTTCAAAAGGGATCCCTTCCGTCCTGCCTCTGTGCCTGAGTCTATTCCCCGTGGCTTAGTTCCTCTTCCTTTGTTTTATTGTTCTAAAGATCGCATCTAAGGAACCAACAAAAGAATATTTTACTATGTTACAAGCTTCATTATTCACAAGATAAGATCCTCCCTAAAACGAGTTATTTCCTTGTGTCCCAAACTAATGTCTCCAATAAGTAAATATAAATAAAGAAGCTTCTTTTAAGGGTAATTTTGCCCAGGAGGAGGGAGAGGGAAGGCAAGGGATCCTTCCGAAAGAAGTTTTGAGTGTCCTCTGCTGTATGCCAGTTTCTGCTGGCCGAGTGAGCCAAGTGAGCTGCAGAGGAAGAACAGCAACCCCAAAACCCAAAGTTTTCTCTTAGTTCTCTAGTTTCCCACATATCTGAGTCACAGGATCGCCATGCCAACCTGCAGCAACTTTGGCTTCAAGCAAGCATGTGTCACGACACTTTGAAACTACCCTTCAGTACTTACTGGTCAAAAGACTCAGGCCCAAACTTGCAGAAAGATCCCGCGCTGTCCCTGGAAACGCTAGGCTGCTTGCCCTGGATGCCGCAGTTAGGCATCGTCAGGATTTGATATTCGGTTGATTCTCTTTCTGGAGTTCAGTGGCTTGTGGGGAAAGGGGGAGTATTGGAAAGGCTAAGAAACAGAGTTATTCTTCCAATGTATGTTCAAAAGGAAAGTGTCAGGGCTTTTAAATTCCTTTCCTAAGGAAGGAGAGGTGTGGTGGAGGACGGGAGTGACTGGGGGTGGGCTGTGGTGGAGGAGGTGAGCCAACATGGGTGTGGGAGGGTGGTAGAAGAGGTGAGGCAGCTGGGGTGGGCTGTGGTGAGGAGATGAGCCAGCTGGGGTGGGGTGTGGTGGAGGAGTTGAGGCAGCTGGGAGTGGAGTGAGTCGGGGAGGTGAGCCAGCTGGGGGTTGGAGGTAGAGGTGAATTGGGGGAGGTGGAAGGTGGAGACAGACAAGCAGCTGTGTTTATTTTAATACATATCATTTAACCCTCACCTAAAAACAAATTGGAGAGGTTTGGGAGTGCATTAATCTGGACCCAATTAGCATGACTTTCTCCTTCAAAAGTGCAACCTGAGATTAATGAATATAAACTAGAGTTTCAGATGCAGTGCTTAAGTCATTTGCATGTTTCATGCATAATAATTGAATTTATGTATGCACTTCCTTTCATTTAACTATTTCCAGTCTCCTCCCTGTGACTCACGTTAAACCAAGATTTCATTATAGGAACCTTTAGGTGAAAATAGCTTGCCTAGATCTTACTCCTAATGAGAAAGTCAAGTTCTTGTTTCTTTTATTTGAATTTGAATAATACAATATTTTATTTAAAAAGCAAGGGGCAGTGCTTAATAGTCTGGGATGCTGTGTCAGGAGCTGGTAAATAGGCACTCTGAGTTTATTTTTGAAAGGCCAGAAAATCCATGGGAACTTATGGCATTGAGTTTTCAGTGGTCCCAGAGAATTGGGTTTCAGTATGGCCACTTTTAAGTGTACTAATAACCTCAAGAGCAATGTCACCTTAATGCAGCAGAAAGAATGTTCTTGGGCTCCGGACCTGAATCATTTACATCACGAGGGATTTAGTGCACAGTACTGTTTCTGGCAGACTTAGATTTTTGCTTCCATAGAGGGGTGGGAGATGGTGTCAGCTTCTACGAAGGCCTAGGGATGAGCTGTTAGCACTTGTGGTCCCTTAACATGCTGTAGGTTTTTTCTTTCTTTTTTTCTTTCCTGTTTGTTATTTAGTTGCAGACGGCTGAATGCTGACTCAGTGCAAGTGCGTGCAAAGGTCCCCCCTCCCCACCTGCTACAAAATAAAAAGTCTAAAAGCTGGCAGCGGGCGTGTGAGAAAGCTTCCTGGGGAAGAGGTTGAAGCAAGGGGCTTGCAGTAATTCCCTTGGTTTCAGTTTGTATCAGTGATTTGTCTGTCTTTTGTCTTTCCTCATGTGTTTCCAAGTCCAATGTCAAAGTGATGAGCTTTTCTCTAGGAATTCTCCCCAGTGTCCTTTGTTTTTGGTGAATTCAATGGTTGCGTGTTGCTGAGTGTCTCCTGGTCTTGTTTCCTGGTCCTTGTAGCTAAGAATGTCGTTGAAGGATAAAATCTTGTTAATTTGTGATGTCACAATTTAAGTGTGCTTCCTGTCACTTATGTGTAGTTTAAAATGTTCCTTAATGTAGCATGAAATGATTGGTTAGCTTTGAAATGGTTGTGAAGTCATGTGAAGAAAATAAGTTTTTCATCCGACCAAGATAAATTCACTCTAGTGCTTTATGGCTTTTTATTCCTATGTGATAGTAATAAAGTCTCATGTAGGGATGGAAGCCATGAAATACATTGTGAAAAATCATCAACTAAGAAGGGGCCATCAGTATAGAAAACATTAGCCTGTGGAGCTGTGAACCTGATGGAGAAATGATTTAGGGTATGGCTTTGCTACATGCTTGGTGTTTCCTTGAGTTTCTTTATCCTTAGATTTTGACAGCTAAGGAATCTAGGTTATAAGAGTTGATTCATCTTTGTAATCATTAATTTACATGCACATTCAGGTTTGCACATTTCTGCTTATCGTACATTCTTCTCCGTTTTCTATTAATGAACGTGCTCTAGGGGAATTATTAGTAGCCCACCCGTCTGGCAGGCAGCATTTCAATCCTCCTATGCCTTCTTTCTCCTCTTGTGGTCTTTCTTCTGAAACAAGGAAGAAACAGTCAAATTAGATTTGCCCTCTTGGAAATGTGGTCCAGATTGCTCTACTCCCAAGCTCCAGAAAAGGTATATGTTGGGTGGGCTAGATCAATACCTCCCCAGATCCATAAATCCACTCAGAGTTGTTTTCCACTTCCAAGTGCAGGGTGGGAGAGGAAGGCTTGGTGTGAGAGGAGAGAAGAAGGGCTTTGGAATGAAGTTGGGTTCTAATCTCTCTGCCACTTCAACTACATGGTGTGGGGCAAGTTGTTTAAACTCTGAGTCTCTTTATCTTTAAAATGGGGAGAAGCGCTCCCTTTGCAGGGATGCTGTAAGGATTACAAGAAGTAATGCCAACAGTGCCTGACAAAGTATTTAGCATGTGTTAACAAAAGCTCATGAAATAGTTTTTCCTTCTCTCTCTCTCCCTTCCCTCTCCCGTTCCCTTCTCTCCCTCTTTCTTGTTCTCCCCTCCCCTCAGTTGTTAGTCTAAAAACAGCACTTTGAGAGAGAAAAGACTTCCTTAAGAATGTCTAGTTGCCTCCTTTCCATATGTGGCTTAAATGCCTAGGTTGGATGGATAGTTTCACTTTTTTTACTTGAACGATTTTAATGTTGACGATTGACCTATATTCACTTTTACTGTTTTCTGTATATTTACTTTTGCTTGAACTCTTTTAATATTGACTGTTGACCTATACTCATTTTTACTCGTTTTCTGTATTTTTTTCAATGAGAATTCTAATAAAAATTACTTTTGTTATCTTTTGCCTCTCCATTTCCTCCACACAATGGGATTTTAGCCTGTGCTCTGAAAATGTCTGGGCTGCCCCAGGAAGATAAACGATGCCTTTTCCTTAGAAATTGCCCACCAATAGTGCCAAGAGAACTATAACCTCCCTGCGTTTGCATATCAATGTGCTTGGGGAAATCTGTCAATTTAGTTGTAACTCTGATGCTAGTTTAACTTTTAAACATATAGAAATTATAATTTGACTTTATCACTAAAGCTTATAGAATAATTGCGGCTAAGGAAAAGGACTTTGCAAGTACACAAATGCTGAAATGTAAAAAAATTACAGAATGATGTAAGTGTATTGCTATAAAAAATAGAATATAGTGAAAATCAGTGGTACCATATTTGTATCCAGAGCTATTTTATTATAATTGAATTTGTTCTTTAAACCCCACACTTACCCCGTATGTCCAGATCCTAGTAACGTCCCTGATACTTAGTAAGTTCAAATATTTGTGGATAAATGAATGGGAAGGGAAGGAAGGAGGAACATGGTGGGGATAATAAAGAAGTAAAAGGCTATATCACCATAAAGAATATATTGTATGGTTAGGGGAGCAGGGCAAACACACATACACAGTTAAAGGTCTGCTGCTAGAATGAGAGAGTTTAATTCTGTAGAAGAGCAGATATTATGAGACCATTCAAGATAAAATGTGATGAGTGGCATATACAAAATTACTATAGGGGCACCCAGAGCAAAGACAGGGGAAGATCCACATCAGGATTTAGAACATCAGCCAAATTTCCAAGGCAAGAGTTGAGGATTTA